AAGTCTTACATGTTATCACTCTACTATCCTTCTTCTCCTGGGTCATGAATTCATAATCAATGTGACCATAGAAACCCTTTTAGGGGGTAGTGGGAGAGAATAGAAGTGTTTTTAAAATCAATAAATTACTCTGCACTTGTAGGTAGTGATGGTATAAAAGTAAAATATAAATCGAAAGTAAAATATATAAAAATCCAATGAAACCACTATTCTCCTTAGATACCACAGAGTCATTCATATTAGCTCATAATAACTTAAGACTGAAAGAAAATAAGTAAAAGAAGTAAAGAAGACTGAAATTTGTAAAAAAAAAAAATAAATAAATAAAAAAAAAAAAAAGGAAGCAAGCAAGCAAACAAAAAGCCTTTAGTATTTGAACCGAGCATACACAGTATCTGGGTTCTCTGCAAATGTAAGAAATGGTGTAAAGACAAAATGTTTCAAAGTAGTGGGCAATATGCTATTGGAGGTAAAAACAGCCAAATCAACATAATAGTTCCTGCTTGTATTTGCTAACCCAACAGCACATTTTACCACAAAATTAAAATAAAATAAAATAAAATAAAATAAAATAAAATAAAATAAAATAAAATAAAATAAAATAAAATAAAATGCACTGGGTACCTGAGAGGTTTTTCATATCTGTAGGAGGCACTGTATGTCATGTCTGTGTGTGTCTGTTATTCAACATGTATGAATTAAAAGGTTAAAATTCTACCTTTTTTATTTTCATTGTATAAATATCACCTGATAGAGTTAAGTAACAAAAAACTGTATAAAATGGTGGGGAAACAAATGAAACAAGTATAAGAGATCTTGCAAACAGTTTCACATCCGTGGTTTCTTTGCTACTGTTTCTAGGTTGCTTAATGTACTGTATTTGAACTTTAAAAGGCTGTCTTGTATAATTAGTATAAAACAAAAATTGTACCTGAACCAACTCTCTCTGTTGTTGTTTTGTTTTGTTTTGTTTTGTTTTTCCTGAAATAATGGAAATGCAAACAGAAGTAGAACAGATAGCCAGAAAAAAAAAAAATAATAAAAAAATAATTAATAATTAAAGGTACTAGGGGTTAATAATTAAAGGTACTAGGGGTTTAAAATATAATGTGTCTGAATTACAATGTAGATTTTGACTTTTTGCTAAGAACTGGCTTGGAAATGTATCTATTAAAATATTGTCAAGAGATTATGCTGTCAGAGCCAGAGAAGAATAAAAGATATGAGCACACAAAATTACAGCCTTGCAATTTATAGGTAATTTAATGCTGTTACATTTCAGTTTTTCAGAAAAGTTTAAAAAATGTTTGATCATGCCAAAATGATTATACAGATATAGTTTTCTTTAATGGAGACCTTGAGGTCTTTAAATTATATTCTCCATCCCCAACCTAAGCCATATCATTACTTATTTAAAAATACAGCATCTTAAAAGAATTCTGTCTGATATTCAGAAAACACTCCGTTTTTGCACACATTCCTGCATATCTTGGCACAAGCACACAAAACATGCTGATCTTTAATTTTCATACATCATGTTCATCACAGGTGACTTCCAGTACTTAGATTTATCTGTAAAATTAGTAATAGCCTGACATTTATGGATGAATAAATCTGAAAATCTTCTTTGATATATACCCTGTGGCTAACACCAGTAATGCAACTAAATGTTTACTGAACAATAGAACGGAAACATGAAAAAGCACAGTTATGTTATTAATCTCTTATTTTTTATCAACCAATTTCATGACTAACTAAACTAATATGTCTACCAAATAGTTTCCAGTAAAATCTAATCTTTCTCACTTCATTATAGATCAGTTACACTGACATATGTTAAAACTATTATTTAAAGAGCCTTTTTGGAGATACCCAGGAATGTAAGTTGAAAAGGGTTGAGTGATATACCTTCCAGCTACATTCCTATGTACTTTGAGAGGGTGGTTCATCAGTACCCTAAAAAAGGTGCCTACAGTCAAATCCAGAGCTTCTTTATAATGACTTTGTAATGTCTTGGTGGGAGTTGTAAGGAAAATGCTCTGATTTCTTTCTTCCCAAGCTCTCCCAGTTAGAGTAGGATTCCAAAATATTTACTAATGTACTTCAGAAAATGAAAGAGTAAAGGTACTGCAAGGCAATGATTGGGCTGTCTAGAAAGGGAAAGTTCTGTGCTCCAGACCCTCCTGTAAATCAATCATTACTTTGCATTAGATCTGCAGACAACATTTTGCAATGCTATGAATGTGTGTGCATATAGATGTCAAAATATCTTCATTACGTGAGAATTCAATGTCATATTTTCAAAGGAGCCTGAAGCAGTACATTCCTATCTATCTTATCCTCAGTTCTGGTACAACCACATTTTTTTAAATAAATGTACTGCAAGTTCTTTTAATGTTAGATTAGGACTCATGGGGAATTACATGCTTGTTTTGTGGGTAACATAATTTCTCCTCTGATCAGTAATGAAAGTTGGTACTACATCAAAGCAAATACTAAGCAAATATCCAAGCAAATGTTAATAACCTATGCAAATTAATTGATTTTACTCTTTCTACTGGTAACTTGTATTATCACAACCTGTTTATATTGTCATAAGACTTTGTGTTTGATAATTTGGAAAGGTACTGAATGCTTGAGAATTCATTTTCTTAAAAGCTGTTATTTTTGAACTATAGGAAGTGACTTAAGTAGTATATTTCCTTTCATTTTGATTTTTTTTTTTTTAAACAAAGCACATAATTTAAGTCAGTAAAGCTCTAGGCAGTGCTGGCTAAAGATTGCAAAACACGATAGAAAGAGGTTTTGAGAACTATTTTATTGAGTTGAAAGAAACAGTGTAATTTAATAATTTCTTCAAAATACTCTTAAAATGTTCCAGTTGCTGTGTAGCTGTAAATATTCAAAACAGCTTTGGATTAATTTCCATTGTGTTATATGACAGTGTTGTTTTTTTTGTTGTTGTTTTATTTTTTGGGGGGTGTGGCGGGGTGGGGTGGGGAAGGTATTAGTAGTTGGTCCTGTGATTTTTATTTTTGTTTTTGTTTTCTAATTGCAAGTTATTTCAGGTTTTACTTTATTTGTAGCCTGACAGTACATATGTTAATCTTTATAGATTTCATTATACACCCATCTGTGTCTCTTCATCCTGGCAAATATTATTTATGTGATAAGTGTCAATACCACTAGTATCTGTTGTGTTCCATTAAAAACTCATTAAATAGATAGAGAGAGGCTAAGGGAAGGGACAGAATATAAGGGCTAAGTGATAATATAAGGGCTAATATAAGGGCTATTTTTTCTTAGAGTAGGATCATTCACTTTAGGAATTCACTTATGGAATTCTAAGTTTGAATTTTCTCTCTGTCACTCATTACAATAGATATTACCGTCTGCATTGAAATGAGCATTTTGGCTGAAACTCCACAGGAACAGGATGTTACTAATGAGGTTACCTTTTTCTAACTACTTGGTAGCTGTAAAAGAAACATCTATTGACACATTATGTCACGCACTATATATTTAATTTGTTTATTATATGTACCTTTGAAAAATAAGGCTCTTTTGATCATGGAGAATCCTATGAATAGAAGATAAATCATTCCCACCTGGGTAGAACTGAACTCATAATGAACTCATAAGCAGAAAATTTGCATGGGAGAGGCAGGTGACAGGCAGAGGGTGGGGCAGAGTCACAGAGAGGGATTTCTGAGAACTTCTGCAAACAGCCAGGAAAACAGAATGGATCAGAAAGGGCTGCTTAGAGTCTGTGGCAACTCATCAAGTCACTGAGCTAACAGAAATCAAGCCTGGAAGCAAGTATCTGTCCTGCGGGCAAATAACTTCTATTAGCATTTATCCACATTTCATTTAACTGTTTTGCCAGTAATAGCATATATCTATGATCTTTAACAACATTATTGCTCAGAAAGTCAGGCAGTGGATCAGCACTGAAAGTATTAGGTATAGAGTCTCTGAGCTTCAGGAAGCTCTGAGGAAGCCCTGCCAAAGGTTGGTTGGATATAGGACCAAGGTTACTTCTGTCATGCCTTGCCTAACTTTTGATGATGTGTTCTGCATTATTTCCTGATATTTTAATTAAAAATCTCCTTAGATTATTAGTACAGGATACGTGTAAATTTATATAAAGACTAATAAAAATTAGCTTCTTAATAGAGGTGCTTGTCATCATGTGAAGAAAAAGTTGGTCCATGTCCTGCCATAAATCTGAGCTTTCATTAGTGTAATATTTTAGCTGATAACATTCTTGGATGATTTGCATTGAATAAAAAATGTGAGAGGGAAACCAGTAAAGTGACTGTTCTGTCTCTCACTGTATCTATAACAGAAAGAGAGAAGAGGAGGTAAGAGGGTATTTTCTTATAATCTATTGTTTTATACAAAATGTATTTCACTACTGAAAGGAAGAGAAGATGAGAGCTCTTGCCCATGAGTTTAATTATCTTGCCTGGTGGAAAAGCATTTATTCTGAGTTTAGGAAGACTTCATTATTTACTCATAGAGAAGTAAACTGTGGAGGTCATACCTAATTGGTGCATGTAAAACCTTTTGTATCATTATGTTAATTGTTCTGTATATACCATATTTTTAATTATTAACAAGTTTACAGAAGTTTTAACTTTTTGTTTTTTAGACATTTTAAAATATATTTTATTCACTCATGCAATACATACAGGAACCTGGACTTCTTCTATGGTGTAAAATGTTGGCTTTTTTTTTTTTTTTCCATTTTTATTTTTACAATATTGAACTTTGTTGGGTGCCATGTTTGTTGTTTTTGTTTGTTTTCTGCCTCACTAGAGGGAAGTGTCCACTAGTACTTAATAGTTTTAACCTGTAGAAATACTTGCACTTTGCACCTACTTTAATTGCTTGTGTTTCCTTTTTGATAGTTTTTTTTTTTTTTTCACAGTCCTTACTGTGAAGTATTTATACAACATTTTATTAATGTGTATGTCTCCTTCCAATACCCTCTGCAGAACTTCAGAACTAGATGTGTTTTATCAATCATATAGAGAAAACTTTTCCTACCTCTTCTACGTTCTTCACAAGAATCTAGCTAGCTCTCTTGCTGCAGCACATTGTGCAAGTTCATCATGAAGCACTAACGGAAAGTTCCTTTCAGAGTCTGAGTATTTGGAGGATTTTTACCCATCACAAAGCTTGGTAGGTACCCCTTGTCTCCAGGTGCTTAATTTTACACTGCATTTAAATGAAACCGGTTGCCGGTATGATGCAGATTTCTCTGTAAAATTGTCCTATCTGTGGTAATACAGCAATTATATCAACACTAAAGATTTACAACAAAAGGTAACTATAAAAACATATTTGTACAACGCAGCTCCAGGCTCAATGCTATACTAATAATATAATTAATAAAATACACTATTTATGCCAAGATGTAAAGGAGGGAAATACAATTTGACTATTCATTGTGAGAGACTATGATTTCATCCTTGTTCCCCACTTTAGCTATATATAGATAATAACTGTCAAATATTTCAGAGCTTTCAAATTATAAGCAGTGTCTCCTTCATATGGATCTGAACCTCTCCTCCAGCATTATGGAACTCCTATGATTTCCTGTAACAGCATACTGTAGTATTTAATTTATCCATCTTTATCCCATTTCCTCTGAAATTCATGTCAGCATTCTGTTATGAATGAAGAAATGGGCACAGAAGATCTGCATGTAAAAATCAAAGAGATTTTTATACAATACAAAAGGTATTAACTTTGATGGTGACTACTTTTGTTCTGGCTGCCTTTCCAAAACCAGTAAATTCAATTGATGATAGGAATGAAGCTGCCTTTGAAAGCAGCTCTATATATTTGGATATATGCTCTTGGCATTTAGCAAATGTAAAAAAATTATTTTTCCTATCAAAATATATAACGTGTGCTGAGTATTGCACATTTATTTACAGTAATCGACATTTTATGTACATCTGTAGAAAGTTATTTAAAGATGCAGTGTATTTCCAAATCCTACATATCAAACAGCTTTTAAGCAGAGGGTAAGTTTTCTCCTCTCCATAACATGTTGCAGGGTCTATCTGTGGATTCCCAGATCATTCACAATGTTATTAATTTAATTGTACTTTGGAAATGTTAAGGATTTTACTCTAGAAAACTTGATTTACCCACAAATACTCATAAAGCCACATGCTGAAGAGGATCAATAAGTTGCTACAGTTGAAAACTATTCTCTCTTTGTGGGACTAATTTTCAGACAAACTAATCCCAAGGTTTGTTTCTGAAGAGTGGTATCTGCTAATGATGTCACAGAGAGCAGCAGAGGAAATACAACAAGGATCAGCTGGGCTGTCCTTTTGATGGGGGGGGGGGGGGGGGGGGGAAAGTGGTAAATGTAGCTTGTGTTTGAGTTATACCTGAACTGGGATTGGCATATTTTCCCAGGTTGTGTTTACTTTCACCAGATTCATAAATAGCATTGTGGTGGGTTGACCTTGACTGGCTCCTGAATGCCGATGCAGCTGCTCTCTCACTCCCCCTCCTCAGCAGGACATCTTATTTTCTAAATAAGATGTAAAAGCTTGTGGGTCAATGTAAGAATGAAGAGATCACTTACCAGTTACCATCATACACAAAACTGACTCTACTTGGTGAAAAGTAATTTCACTTATTACTAATTAAGAACAGAGGAGGATGGTGAAAAACAATGACAAAAACTGAAGCACCTTCCCTCCACCCCTCTTCTCTTCTTCCAGGCTGATCTTCACTCTTTCAGCTTCTGCTTCCTTTACCCTGAGTGCCAGCGGAGGATGGAGAATGGGGGCTGTGGTCAGTCCATAACAGTTCCTCTCTGCCATTCTTTCCTCCTCATACTTCTCCCTTGCTCCAGAGGAGGTTCTGCCATAGGCAGAAAATCAAGATAAGTCTATTCCAGAATGGGTCTCCAAGGGCCACAGTTTTCTTTTTGACAAAAATAATGAGTGCAATCTCACAACCTCTTTGACCTCCCCAAACAGTCTCTGCTGTGGACCCGCCACCCAGGTTCTTCGTTTATGTGTTAGAAATAATTTTTTTAGTAATAGTACATGTGGACACTCAGGGACATTGGCAGCCCTGTTGTGTACCTCTTGCTCCACCAGCGTAAGGCCAAGGAATCCCATGTCAGATCCAGCCTCTTCACCAGCCCATGCCCAGTCCTGGCCCTAGTGAGATATGGACTGATGCTGCAGCATGTCTTGTCTCTGGCCCTAGCCCTGTCTCCTTATGAGATGCTGGCCCTAGTACCAGCCTGTCCCCTCATAGTGCCTGGGGCTGCTGGTGGACCACACTAACACCCCCAGCTCTGCCTATTCTGCTCAGGGACAGAGGGTAAGGGCGCACCCTGCCTGCACTCAGGTCACCCCAGCTCTTCTGCTGGAGTCAGCCCCTGTCATGATACCTGGTAGTATGAATGCAAAAGTACTTCTTTCCCCCCATTTTAAATTTGTATTCTCCTTTCTACATCAAAAACTCTGGAAGTTTATTTTGCATATTCAACACCCAAACACACAAATTCTGCTGTTTTCAAAGGCACGCTGTACAGGGCTGCAACCAAAGTTTTTGTATGAATTGTCATATGCCTGAGACTTTAATGATGTTTTTGATCTTCTCCTTAGTTGCTTTCCTTTGTAAATCATCCATCAAAAGTTATGTTTTTGTACGGGAGAGTAACAAACTATGTTACTATATTTGCATGATAGACATTTAATTGTAATTAAATGTAATTTACATTACAATTGCAAAATTGAATAAATAAACATTATGATTCTACCAACAGTTGGATGGTGTTTATATTTTGGCATTTTAGAGCTTTATTTTTGGGGTTGTATTTTGCATATGCTAGATATGCTAGATATAAGTGGTGCATAGTGTAATATTGAGATTACAAAAATATATTTTTCTCTATTTCTTTGAAAAATAAGGGGGCAGAAAGATACAAAACACTTATCTATATGTATCTAAATTATATTACTAAACACAAAATACAGGATCATATCTCATTGTTTTGTCCATTTGCATGCTGAGTGTCATGTCCTCAATATAATAAAGGAGAAAATACAAGAAAAAAAATGTTAATTCTCTTATCTGTACATTTATGTTGTTGTTACTGCTGTTATTGTTGTTTTGTCTTTTTTTCCCCTTTTGTGCACTGTAGCACTGAAAAAGAAAATAAAGTAGATAAATGTGAGGAAAAGGCAAAACAAACAAACAAGCAAAAAAAAAACCAAAACATAAATATCATAGTTACCATTGATGAACTGTTTTTTTTTTGTTGTTGTTTGTTTGTTTTTTTAAATTTTATTTATTTATTTATTTACCTTGGATTGCTATGAAGGCATGATCTGTCTTAATGGTTAATACTACAGCTTTATGTCTACAGTAATCGATACACTCTTGATTGTAAATATTTTATATGTATTTCTGAGTTTCAAGTACACTTGGACATTTGTTTTTATTTTGTTTGTTATATATTTTATATCACTGGAGTAATGTTCTATAGTATGAAACATATTGTATGTGATGTCTTGGTATATATTTACAATGGAAGAAGTTAAGTAGTGTTTACAGGTTTACAATGTATTTCAAACATTTCTGGGTTACAGCATGGTCTTAAGAAGAAATGTGTTTGTACCTGATATTTCACGGTAGCTATGAAAAAAGCCAAGTGCTACATGAATGGAACCTATTAAAACACCATTTGCAAGACACTTCAGAGGGAATAGTTTAAGATAATAGTTTGACTTATTTTTTGGTATCTTATCATATAATACTTTATGATATTATTTTATTTCTGTTTCAGTGGCAGGCAATATAAATCATTGGATAATTCTGATGTATCCCTATCCTCTCCTGTCAAGAATAGATATTGTCTTGTCATAGGTAATCTTTTTTCAATGAGGAATTATATTTTATCTATTTTTTCTACAGAGTATCATCAATACTGTATATATATTTTTTTTCTTTCCTTTTCTTTTTCTTTTTTTTTTTTTTTTAACTTACAAATCAGTATGATTGTGAAAACAAGCTCTAATCTCTTCCTTTTTAATTTAAGTTAAATAAAACTCCACACAGGAGCCAGAGAGCTTCATTTGCCTAATGCACAGAGTAAACAACCACAGAGTTACACCAGAATTCAAGTTTGGTGGCCTCGGACATCAGAAGCTATTTCAGCTTAAAATATTTTTATATATAAATGCAAGCATAAAGTGATTGCTGTGGGGGTGGGCTGTAAATCAAGACTTTTTGTGTTTTGGTTAAACATTTACAGAGATGGCAATCTTGTGGCACTCACATTTATTTAAATTTTCTAAAAATTCCCTCCTAAATATCTGTCTTAAATATGCATATCATTTTAAAGATCCATTTAGTGTTAAAATCATACAGAGGTACTATTTGTGCTTTGGGGGAGGAAGGAGACTCAGTTAAAATAGAGTGATCTGTTAAACATAGTGCCAGTTGTGAAAACAGTGAGGAACTCTGAACTGAAGAATGATGAATTGTCTGAACTGATGAATGATGACTGTCATCATCATAGGTTTTTGCTGTACCACTGATTTTTTTAAAGCAAATATATCATTAAGCACTGGGAGAGGATGTTATGCTTTTTGTTATCTGTCAAAATACTAAGGCATCTTCATTAGTGTTTTAACTGAGAAGAACAAGATACTGAAGAGGAAAGAATGGTAGATTAAATATTTTTCACATGTAATTCAAATACTGGAATGATTTACTTCTGGTACTTGAATACTCTTTTATCAGAACTCATGCCAAAGCTGTTTAGTTCATATTCTAAATCTGAATTTTTATATTTCATCACAACAGTTGCTGTCCCAGTGTGATTAACTTTCAAGATTTGAGGAAAAAATATATTGTAATGAAATATTGCCATTGAAATTATATGTACTGGAATTATGTATTATTTTTTAATCTGCATATTTTACAGTAGAATGCAATTCTTGTATTTGATCCGAAGAATGGATGTTCCTAGGCTGCTCATTTGCATGTCAATAAAATTCAGTTCTATTGAAATAAAGATAATAGCTGAGCTGTTGGCAAATGTCATCAGCATACCAACATGCATTACACAGTCATTCATATGACAACAGAATTATTTGGGTAGCAAAGGTGCAACAACTGTTGCAGAGTGTGTAGCAAAACTGAAACCACTTCTTCACTCTTTATGAGGATTTATTCCAAAATAAAGCTGTAGCTATATTTCCTGAAAGACTGCTAAATTTTCAGTCCTTTCAGTTTGGGGCTGTCTGTCTGTCAATATAATGTGTTCTGACATTATTTGGAATTTTGTAGGACTCAGAGATCTGTCTGGTTTAATTAGAAATCAAGAAGTCACTCAAGGCTTTCACTCTTTCATGTCAGACTTTGGAGCATGGATATGTTCTTTTGGCTATTTCAGCGTGAGACTTCGGAGGCAACTATTCCTCTGGAAAAAAATTGTTTGAAAAACAATTGTATTAAAAAATTGTTTCTGAGAGAGAAGCAGGAAAAGCTGTGACTTTGAATCTCTTAAAAGAATAATTCCTTTGTGGTGGTGGAATAGGAATTCTGTTGGATGAAGAATATATACAGTATTTTCTCATGTGCTACTGATATAGTTATCTTATGCTCAGCTCCATGAGAAGGAATCTTTATTACTTTTACATATGGGCCTAATTTCACTAATAAATAATCCAATTCACATCTTCTCATGACAACACTTTTTGCAAAGGTTAGTTTTTTAATCAGATGTCCATACACCTCTGTTACACTTGAAATAGTAGAAACATATTCCAGTATGTACCAGCAAAAAAAGAAAATAATAGAAAATATATATATATTGTAGTCTTTTAAAAATTACTTATAGGGGTTTTTCACAGAATCACAGAATTGTCTAGGTTGGAAGAGACCTCAAGATCATCGAGTCCAACCTCTGACCTAACACTAAGAAGTCCTTCACTAAACCATATCGCTAAGATATCGCTTTTGTTTGTTTGTTTGTTTGTTTGTTTGTTTTCACTTTCATCAGAGCTTGAGCCCTTACAGTGCATTAGATTAATTTTGAAGTTGTTTTTTCTTTAAACACATAGTCTAGATTTGGAACCAATCATTTGACTAACTTTAGTGAGATTACAAGCAAATAAATATGATGGAACTTAGTAAATTTGTTCAAAAAGCATAGGAGAAAGTAAATATTAAAGACAGAATTAATTTCATAGCCACTTTCTAGTTCTCCAGCAATTCCTTAACAGAGACACTGAAGACAAGACTGAGGTCCTTTCTATGTGAAGCTGAGTATAAATGCAATGTGTAAGAATGTAGAATCACACATCCTTCTACTGAATACCCCTTTAATGCATTTTGTGACTTAAGATACAAGGTTTGTAAATATGGTGTTTAGCCTCTAGAACCACCAAGTAAATCTATACTTGGCCTACAATATAAAGATTTGCTAGATACCATAGATTTGGTAGAGCTGTGTGATTTAATTTCATATAAAAAGAAAAAAAAAAAATCTTTATACTAAGAACAGCATTTAGGAAGAGAGGGAGAAAATGTGTTTTGGTACAGCTGACCCGGGATATTTTTCTCTTCTGCTGCACAGGAGTTAGTGAAGGATCTAGAGGGGAAGACAGACATATGAGTGGCTGAGGTCATTTGATTTGTTCAGCCAGAACAGAGGAGAGTGAGGGGAGGCCTCACGGCAGCCTGCAGCTTCCTCTTGAGGGGAGTGAAGGGGCAGGCGCTGAGCTCTGCTGTCTGGGGACAGTGACAGGACGTGAGAGAACAGCATGGGGCTGAGACAGGGAAGGGTCAAGTTGGAAATCAGGAAAAGGCAGTGGTTTGTCACTGGAACAGGCTCCACAGGCATCAAGCTTGCTGGATTTCCAGAAGTGTTTGGACAATGCTCTCAGACATAGGGTCTGACTTTTTTGTGTGGACCAGGAGCTGGATTCAATGATAATTTCAGTGTCCTTCCAACTCAGGATATTCTATGAGTTACAACATGAAATAAATAATAATAATAATAAAAACCTATTAGAATTGTATCAATATTAGGAAGTTCTGCTTTTTCACCACAGCAACATACTTAGAAAAGTGAGGTGAATTTTGTAAAGAAACACAAGGGACATAAAAAAAAAAAACATTTGTTTTGATTGTGGAACAATGTTTTTGTTTTTGGTCTGCAAACTCCTTTTCAATAAAGGTAATCTCGTACATGGAGGAAAATATAAAATAAACATTCTTTCCTACTACATGTTCGAGGTTCTATGTTTTATGAGGGATGCTCATTGGCTGTCTATATTACTTTTTTGTTTTTATTATTTATTATTTTTAACAGCAGTACATCAGTTGTTAAGTACATTCTTTGGTTACTTAATGCACATTATCTTGCTTCACACTGTAGTCACTCTGGTGTGTGCCACATGATTTCCTTCTGGTGGAAATTAAACAAGAAACTCCTTCAATGCACATCAAATGTTCTGCAGTCTGTAAGAAACATAAGAGTCTGAGACAATGACTGGTCCTTCATGCAGCTGCAAGCCACAAGCCTGGTGATATACTTGGTATGTGAAAAACAAACAAACAACAAACAAACAAACAAACAAAAACACTAAATCTATCATGAACTAAACTCTTCAAACTATGTATATCAAAGGTGTGTGAATTTCTGTGCCAGCTGCTACAAAAACCCTAAGTACATTTCACTGAATTTCTTACTCACAGAATCACAGAATGGTTGAGGTTGGCAGGGATTTCTGGAGGAGGTCATCTGGTTC